GGAGTTTATTTGCCGCCTTGTCCTCAAGTTAAAGAGGCCCAACGCATGCTCGCCAATCAGATTCTGAGTGTGGAGCGAGCAAATCCAGATTCGTTGGTTATCGTACTTGGCGACTTTAACAAAGGTAATCTCAGCCACGAACTCCCCAAATACATACAATTCATTAAATGCCCAACCAGAGAAGGGAACACTCTGGATCACTGCTACACTACAGTCAGTAGAGCCTACCACGCCATCTCCCGAGCAGCACTAGGACACTCTAACCATGCCATGGTCCACCTGATTCCTGTATACAGGCAGAAACTAAAACTCTGTAAACCTGCTGTAAGGACATCTAAACAGTGGACCAGTGAGGCTGTGGAAGATTTGCGGGCGTGCTTAGTTCACGACTGCTACCAATAGTCTGGATGAACTCACAGAGGCTGTAACGTCCTACATCAGCTTCTGTGAGGACTGCTGTATCCCAACACGTACCAGGGTGAACTTTAACAACAATAAGCCCTGGTTCTCAGCAAAGCTCAGAAGGTTGAGGTTGGAGAAGGAGGAAGCGTTTAGGAGTGGGGATAGAGACAGATTCAAGGAGTCGAAGAACAGGTTTAGCAAAGCGGTGAGAGAGGCTAAACGACTGTACTCAGAGAGACTAAAACACCAGTTCTCTACTAACGACGCTGCTTCTGTCTGGAAAGGGCTCAGGCAGATCACCCACTACAAACCCAGAGCCCCCCAAACCACTAACGACTCCCGCCTAGCCAACGACCTGAACGAGTTCTACTGTAGATTTGAAAGACAATTGAACTGTCCTGAACCACCCTTTCCCACCCAAGAGGCCCCATCCCCCACCCATACTACAGAGATGACTCTCTCCTTTCAGGAGGGAGAAGTTAATAGACTTTTCAAGAGGCAGAATCCACGCAAAGCAGCCGGGCCGGACTGTCTCTCCAGCCACCCTCAGGCACTGCGCTGACCAGCTGTCTCCGGTGTTCACCAACATCTTTAACACCTCCCTGGAGACATGCCATGTACCAGCCTGTCTCAAGTCCTCCACCATCATCCCCTGTGCCCAAAAAGCTAAGGCCAACAGCACTAAATGATTACAGACCAGTCGCCCTTACATCTGTGGTAATGAAGTATTTTGAGCGCCTGGTCCTGGCACACCTCAAAGCCATCACAGACCCTCTCCTGGACCCCCTCCAGTTTGCCTACAGAGCCAACAGGTCTGTGGACGACGCAGTTAACATGGCCCTCCACTTCACCCTACAGCATCTGGACGCCCCAGCATCCTACGCCAGGATCCTGTTTGTGGACTTCAGCTCTGCCTTCAACACCATCATCCCTGCCCTGCTTCAGGACAAGCTCTTCCAGCTGAATGTGCCCTACACCACCTGTAAATGGATCACAGACTTCCTGTCTGACAGGAAGCAGTGCGTTAAGCTGGGAACACAAGTCTCTGAATCCAGGTCCATCAGCACCGGAACTCCTCAGGGCTGCGTCCTTTCCCCACTGCTCTTCTCCCTGTATACCAACAGCTGCACCTCCAATCATCTGTCCGTCAAACTCTTGAAGTTTGCGGACGACACCACCCTCATTGGGCTGATCACTGGTGGGGATGAGTCTGACTATAGGTGGGAAGCTGACAACCTGGTGACCTGGTGAGCCAGAACAACTTAGAGCTAAATGCTCTAAAGACAGTTGAGATGGTTGTGGACTTCAGGAAGAATACAGCCCCACTCACCCCCATCACCCTGTTAGACTCCCCAGTCAAAATTGTAGAGTCCTTCCGCTTCCTGGGCACTATTCTCTCCCGGGACCTCAAGTGGAAACTGAACATCAGCTCCCTCACCAAGAGAGCTCAAGAGGATGTACTTTCTACGGCAGCTGAAGAAATTCAACCTGCCAAAGACAATGATGGTGCAATTCTATACAGCGATCATTGAATCCATCCTCACCTCCTCCATAACCGTCTGGTACGCTGCTGCCACTGCCAAGGACAAGAGCAGACTGCAGCGTATCATCCACACTGCTGAGAAGGTAATTGCCTGCAATCTACCAACCCTCGAAGACCTGCACACGACAAGGACCATGAGGCGAGCGAGGAAGATTATGGCCGATTCCTCCCACCCTGGACACTCTCTGTTTCAGCTACTCCCCTCCGGCAGAAGGCTTCGGTCCATCAGGACCAAAACCTCACGCCATAAAAACAGTTTCTTCCCATCTGCTGCTGGCCTGTTAAACAAGGCCAAGGGCTTACACTGATTTTAACATTTTATCTACATAATGACACCTTGCCGATATTAACTATGTTAACCTATTTGTATTTTTTTATTTTTAAATGATATCTTAAAGATATTTTATATTCAATATTTATTCAATTTTATATACTTCAGCCCCTTGGTGTTAGTTGGACATTTAACCCTTATTATTATAGTAAGACTTGTTTAAAACTTATTTAAGATTTTAGATTCCTATATGTTGAATGTATGCACCATCCTGCCAAAGTAAATTCCGTGTCGGTGTGAACTTTCATGGCGAATAAAACCCTTCCTGATTCTAAAACCCCCTTTCTGATCTTATTTTCATTCACTGCATCATCCATCAGGAATCCCTGTGCACGTCTGTATTGCAGCTTAATCATGTCGTGAATACAGCCGTAAAACTTGTTAACTTTATACGAGCAAGGGGACTTCAGCACCATCAGTTTATTATGTTCCTGGAGGAAACTGATGCGGATCATCAGGACTTGCTGTACCACTCTCGTGTCCGCTGGTTAAGTTTGAGGAAAGTGTTACAACGAGTGTGGGAGCTGAAAGAGGACATCATCGCATTTTTGGAGTTGGTGGGGAAATCTGACGAATTCCCTGAGCTAAGCGACAAGAACTGGCTTAGTGACTTTGCGTTTGCTGTGGACATATTTTCACACATAAATGAGCTGAATGTGAAACTGCAGGGGAAAGATCAGTTTGTTCACGACATGTACAAACATGTGAAAGCCTTCAAATCCAAGCTCACTTTGTTCTCCAGACAAATTGCGAACAAATCTTTCGCTCATTTCCCCACACTTGCCATGCAGGAAGAGGCACCGCGAAACGCAAAAAAATACAGCAAATCACTTGAGGACCTGCACGGAGTATTCTGCCGTAGGTTCTCTGATTTCGAAAACATTGAATAGTCACTTCAGCTGGTGTCATGTCCCCTGTCACAAGACTGTGAAACAGCACCACAGGAGCTGCAGTTGGAACTGAATGATCTTCAGTCTGACTCCGTCCTAAAGGAGAAGTTCAACTCTGTTAAACTGAATGACTTTTATGCTTCACTTAACAGAGCCACGTTTCCAAACTTCCAGAGGACTGCACAGAAGATGCTGACTTTGTTTGGCTCGACTTATGTGTGTGAGGTGACGTTCAGCGTCCATGAACGCCAACAAAGCCCGTCACAGATCAAAGTTAACGGATCAGCACCTCAGATCTATCCTGAGAATTGCCACAACCGAAATAACTCCAGACTTGGATGCACTGGCAAAAATGGGAGATCAACAACACTGTTCCCACTGAAAGTGATGATGTGTTGCTGCAGTGAGGTTGGAGCCAAATCTCCGACACACAGCCTGCGTGGCTGCTCTAACCTGTTAATGGGCCTCAGGATGTTTTCATGATGTTTGATCAGTCACGTTACGACATGTTTTTGTATTGTTCACGTTCGTGCAATTTGTTAAATTGCCTTGCAAATAAATGCTTTGCTACCTGGTAAAGGCCAAATCCTTTCATGTAATGATTTTTACATGTCATTTATATTAGTTCACACAAACACTCCGTCCGTCCGTTACTGGCCCCGCCCCTCTGTCACATTTTAGAACCCATTGTGGCCCGCGAGTCAAAAAATTTGCCCACCCCTGTTCTATACAAATGTAAATGTATCATAGAACTGGGGGTGTTCACCAACAGGTTAAAAATGCACGTTACTATGCAAGCGCTGCAATCTTCGAGTCAAACAAATTTGATTGCTCACGATCCATGAATGCCGCACTGATGAGCAGATGTTTGCCTGCAGGCAAGCTCAGCCATGCAAATGCGACAGCTGAAACAAGAATACTTTCTTCCCGAGTCGTATAGTGAGCTGATTTTATTAACAGGACAGGGCCATGTTTATACAAATATAAACCTCAAACCTGTACAGGACAGGGCCATGTTTATAAAAATATAAACCTAAAACCTGTACTTGATTTATCCCAAATAAGTCTGAAATTTCCTGCTGAACATGTGGCCAAGAAACTCTTTAAATACCCTTAAATGCTATGTAATTACGTTTTTTATGACCACTGAAAAAGAAAATGTTAATGTAAATTGAAAGCAACAATTTTCAGGCGCACCACCATTAGGCACTCTCATGATACTATAGGGCAAACTGAAATTCCTTCACCTCCGTTAATACAACAGTATAATGTTTCCCTCCCACCTTCCATTCAATACAATGTTTTTACCACTGAGGAATGCGATTCAATTAAAGAATCAAACATTTGTTTTTAGATTGTTGTAAATGTAACAGCTAAGAGTGGTTGGAGACGCACACTGCAAATCCTATTGTGCAGCAGTTGCATGTTCTGTGGTACAAGTTATAGTCCGAGTGGTAGGTTGGAAGTTTTTAAAAAAAGAAGTACATTTTAACTTTCATTTAACAATGAAACAAAATAGCAGATCACCAAATAGTTTTTTGGGATGAGTTTTCATGTGATAATGATTAAATAGAATCCTTCTTGCCGTTCTACCTCCTACAGACACCAAATTGAAAACTCCATCTCAGCATGATCCACCATCCCATCTCTTTCAGGTGGCTAGTTTAAAGGCATAAAACAATAGCACCTGGTATAAACACCAGGTACTGGACAGAATAATTGACAAATTATTGCTGGATTAGTCAATTCACGGATTAACAAATGCACTACAATTCCTGTATTATAATAAATGACCATATTGCAAGTTAGTACTTTTAATAATTGCGATACTCACGTGGGATAGGAGTCTGTGAGTGTCTCGAAATAGTCAGGAGAGACTGACGAGCAAGCATCCTGGAAGCCATTATGAACCGCAGGTTCACAGCAGCAACACCAACCAGCTGCAGACTCAAAACGTTCTCTCAAGCGTGCTGCGCCGGACACCCTAGGAAAAGCACACACACGGGTCATTACCAATCACGATCTATCCACTGCTGGATTAAGACCTACCCAAGTCACTGCCATATGTCTTGCAATGCAATAACCCCCCATCTGGTGCCTCTGTAAGGACAGTACGGGCCCTAGTGGCCATAAACAATGATTGCAGTGATGAGGACAGGCAGGGTCAAGTGAGATAACTGGGTGAAGAGTCAACACGGGGGTAGAGATGGAACCCCCGGGGTGTTATAGTGAGGCAAAGGAGAGAGTTCGGGGGGAAAAGGGGCGTGGCAGAGCCGAGGGGAAATAAAAGGCACCGCGGAGCGGCGCTCGGGGCTGCAGTGGGGATTCGGGGTCCGGGCCGTCGTGGCTGTCATCACGGTGGATTGCCCTCATCGTCTTGGAAGGCTGGGAAAGGAGTTATATATCTTCGCCGTGGCTACTACATCGACGGCTCCTATATAGTAGTCAGTCAACTACATAGTGAACGTCGCGTAGCAGCTACATAGTCACCCAGTTGTATATAGTCAACCTGCATCCACCTGATAACATGTCGAGTCAGGTGGACTGTAATCTCCATATATATAAAAGGCAAAGTTGTGAATGTGTGTCTGTTCAAAATGTTGAGCGTACTTCCCGACATGCAACAAACTGGAAATTTGCCATGTGGGTACTTTCCAGACTGTACACCATGCACATTTTTTTTTAAAATACACTTTTTTGGGGGGGGGGAGCTCAATAAAGCATATTTTTATTGCACGGCAAGTGAGCTGACGTCAAATCTGTCACGTGACCCTCGCATGTGGAAGCGTAACGCATTGTAGTGTCGTGGTTAGCGCGCCGCGCTACGAACCCGGCGACCCGAGTTCGATTCCCGCTCACGGCCACCACCAGTGACGATTATTTTAACCGGTCCTGGGCCTACCCTAGATCGACTCAGCCTCAAACGAGTAACTGCTGTGGTGTGTGAACATCGCCACTGGGGAGACAAAGGCGGCCGGACATGGTGTATGCAAGTCCCGGGCGAAGCCGGATAGTACAGCTAGTATATAATATATATAAAACTTAAGCAAGAGAGCGTCTCTGAGGGCTACATTACACCTGCACACGAACCGATTTCATGACCCCATTTTTTAGTAATGTTTCCCAAGCTTACTTTTATTAACAATCAATCTAACATGCGTATGTTATCTAATGCATGTGTTCCCCTTCCTGTCTCTCATTGTGATTTGAAGTATACACACCTGTACATAAGCACATCTAAATCACTGTTTAGGTATTCTTTAATGGCAAATTTCCTCCAACAAAAGCAGATATTCTTCATAGCCAATGTTGTTAAAGTGAAAGTTGTGGACGAAAGGTCAAGAGATTTTGTGAACTTACGGTAATCACTGTTATCAAGGTAGATTATAACCGCTAAACTGACAGTAGAATTAATAATTCAACTAATCAGCGATTTGATTGGCATTTCAGGAATCAATTCTTTGTCTAAAATCTAGATTTGAAGTTTTAGTGACTACAGGGATCCATACTCTTTGGTTCTTTCAGTAAAGTCACGTAGGTATAAAATAAAATAAATCACGACGTTTAAAGTGTTATTGTTTAGTTTGTATCGGTTACTATCAAGTTTCTACGTGTTTATTTGCTCTATTAAGTCCTCAAGTTATATTATTAATTGCATATGTTAAAAAATCTACCAATTCTCACATGCATGATGAGATGCATTATGTGCCCAGTAATGAATTCAACATTTTAACAGGAAGCAAAGTATTATGTGCAGCAAGCCAGCAAGAATATACAATTCAAATTGACAGATGAACAGATATCTAATAGGAGAAAGAAGCAAGATGGGTGAATGATGTGAGGCAACAATGACCAAAGTATTTGTACTGACAGAAGAGGCAATAGGTTACAACAGAGCGAAAGGATAAGATGGCGAATTAATCATATGGAGCTGGACATAAATTCGGTCAGTCCCTATGATCACTGTTACATTGGATTTATGGCTTTATTTTGGCGATTTCTAAAACGTTTTTTGGTTTGGTCATGTTTTTGTTTATTGTAGTACGGAGTTAGACTGATGGCCTTAATCTTAGTTGTCTTGTGGTTGTTGTTGTTTGACTTGCATCCCACTGGGATTTTTGCACACACCGTTGGTGTACGGTGCTATTTCAGGAATATTTTGGTGTTTTTTTCCTGGATTTTCTGTTTGCACAGCCACATAGTCACTTTAAGATGTTTTCTTGTTCATGTTTTTGTTTGTTGCGGTTGCACCCGATTCAAAAGTCGAATGGCTTACAGGGCTATACCAAATAAATGGAACTAAATGGAAGTGAAGAGCTTTTGATTAGATTCTGTCCAGAAATGTTCGTGTTAAGGAGTTGTATTCCATTCTGAAGATGATGTGTAGCATGTTAGGAGTTGATGCTTACAAAACAGATTGTGCAGATTACAGGGTAATCGTGGCATGTAACGAGTAGCGAGATTAATACAATACAAATTTGCGGATTACGAGGCTGTATTAGTCTATGTAATGGATATATTTAACATGATTTAGACGTCGTGACCAGATAATTTCAGCACAGATAGTTTTTTGCTGATGCATACAACATACAAATTGCTAAGTAAAACAATTAAAACGTGTGCTGCCTTTCCCTGTAGTTTCACTGCTGCAGCTTCAAGCTAGTCCCACTCACTCTTATGCATCACAATTTGCAGTCCACAAAGCATTTTTAATCTGCTGTGGCGTGCAGCAGATTAGGGGAGGAGTTGCGAACCGATCATTATCTGAAAATTACAGGCACATGCCGATTATTGGCTTTCCGCTTTATTGTAATGTATATATAAAACTTCGTTCGCACCGCACGTAGCCGCCACCTGTGATGATCGGAGGTGCAGGAGAAGGAAATCAGAGGTGCGGGGGAAGTCTAGAGAAGAGTTTGATTAGCGCCTCTGGATAACATCAGTAGAGAGGGTTACTTGAACCAATTTGGGATTCCCACGTTTTCACCAACCAGACCAAATAACCCCCTTAACCAACATTTGTATTAAAAGAGTCTCTTAACAAGTTCGTGAATAAAGTATTCACTTATCAAGTGTCACACACATGACACTACATATATATTATATAACAAAAACAATCTGCATAGAAAATTAGATGATAATGCCACATACACTCATCTCTTTGGCAATAGGGCAAGTTGCATGGTTGGCTGATGAGGGCTGATGGTCTGAAAACAATCCATGCCAATACATACCGTATTTTCTACATGATTGGTAATGGGAGAAAACAACATATTTGATAAGGTCGTTTAAATGTGGATTTTCAATCTGCACTTTGGCCGAGAAATGGATGCCCAGCAAGGAAATGAGTGTTAATCATTTCTAGCTGGCAAATTATGAAGGTCAGCTTTATTAACTGCTTTCGAAATCCACTCGCACACTACTCTGTGAACATAATTATATATTATTGCTTATGTACTGTCAAATACAAGTGTAAGACACACGTCCCCATATCCAGCATACAGTAATGCACTGACGGATTGCCAAAAGAGAGAACACTGCATAACACACTGATATATGCTTGTGCACAGAACTGATTGTTGCATTACAAGACTGAGAGTTGGCTTCGGATTAGGAAGGCGTTCATCAAACAGTGGATAGATCATGGCTAACACGCTGTATATAATTTATATTGCGTACTGTATAAGGATACAACTAAACACGTTATCTGGTTCTGCAATACTCTTTATTATTCTCTAAGTGGTGAAACATGTCATATATTCACCACACCCACATATAATACAAAATAATCGAGCAGGGTTGTTTTTCAAACAAATGGGGAGGGGGGTGTGCTCATCTTCCGTTTACAGCCCTCAGGCAGTATTGGAAATTCCACGTTCCTATGATGGGCATGATAGTAATTACACAGGTCAAACAAAACTGACCTCCCAATACGGTACTCCGTTTTATTGGCGTCAGGATAAACAAAGGCTTGATATCCAGTACTCTACGGGGTGTGACATAAATACAAGGATCCCCCTTGTAGCCTCAACAGAATGTTGGGGCAAAACACTGTTAGCGAGCACCTATTAAGGCCCGCACGGCACACGAGGGGGTGGGTGGCCGGCAACCACGCCTGACCACCTTTGTCTTCCCTCATACACCACACGACCCAGTCACATATATTGTATGGTATTGACCAATATGAGTGGTACATTTACCCAAACCCGGATGGTTGTCATGGGCTGCCACCATTTGGTTCGGCAATCATGCTGTGTTCTTAACACCTCGCCGAATGGTAGCACCCCGAGTGCCTGCAGCAGTGCCTTGGGCCAATTACGAAATTACGATTTATACCCCGTAGAATACCATACTGTACGTACTGTATAAGGATATCCTCCACCCCATTTAGCCTTGGCAGAAATACTTTAACGAGCACCTATTAATGACGGTGTGGCCATTCGAAGGGGGTTAAGTGTGGGCATCACTTGTCGGTGCCAGCTCATCCTTCACCGACATCAGGTACTCATTTAAGGCCGAGTCGATCTAGGGGAGGGACCTCCAAACCGGTTGGGGATATCGATCTGGGAAAGGAAGCTTGCTAGGTTGGCAGGAGTTGTACCACGTTGAATGGTGCACACAAGCTTGTCGTTACGCCGAAATCTACACAGCCTTCAAATTCAGTCGTTAACATAATGCATTGCATTGTGTTAATAATAATATAACATAATGTAAATTAAACATAATGCATTGTGTTAACAAAATGCATTGCATTATGTTAACGTGAGCGATACCGTGCAATATCGTATCGCTATTGCTATTACACAATTTCAGCGATTACCCGATATCGAAGCATAGAATAATGTGATAACTAAAGCGCAATACGAAGAATATTAGATAACGCCGCACTATTAATATAGTAAAGAATATAATATAAAGAATATAATATAGCACTGTATATTCTTGGTTCTTTCGGTAAAGTCACGTTGAAAGGAAACAATAAAA